AGAAGAACTAACACAAGGATATATAACAAGTAAATTGATAGATGAATATGAAAGGCGTTTACAAAGTAAACAAAGTTCATCGGGACAAGCCTTAGCATTTAAAAGCAAAAATGCTGAAAAGTGGAACTACAAAGAAAAGAAATTTTGCACTTACTGCCACAAAAGTAATCATTATAAAAGTGAATGTTGGCATTTAAACAACAAAAATAAGGCAAATGAAGATGCTTTTAAGAGACAAAGAACAAATAAAAATATTCACAAGAATTATGATAAGCAACACAAGTCCACTGTTTGTGTAGAAAAGGATAAACAAGGTGAAAGAAAAGTACTAAAGGTACAATTGCATGAAACAAATTATGTTGACAATGATTGGGTCATTGATTCAGGTGCAACGTGTCATATGACAGGAAACTTAAAATTTTTCAAAAAACTTAACAAGCAAAAAGGCAACTCTATCACCATTGCCAATGGAGCAAAGCTGAAATCACATGGCATAGGTGAAGGATGTATAAAGGTCAGAACACTTCATGGAAATGAAGAAGAAATTCTCTTAGAAAATGTACTTTATGTTCCAGAGTTAGGTGGAAATTTACTCTCAGTAAAAGCCATAACTGATAGAGGCTGCTTAGTTAAATTTGAAAATAATGTATGCACCATAGAGAAAGATGATGAGTTAATTGCTACAGGCATTGCCACAGATAGTATTTACAAGTTAATTGCTGCAACAAATAAGCAAGAGCGAGTAAACAGTGCTCAATTAATGCAAAATTGTACAAATAAAAATTGCATACTTAAATGGCACCAAAGACTAGGTCACAGAAATTATGACACAATGAAACAAATGGAAAGAGAAAACTTAGTAGAGGGAATAAAGTTGCATAATTGTAAACATGATTTACAATGTCCAATATGCATTAAAGCAAAGCTCACTGAATTGCCATATCCAAAGAAGTCTACTTACAGAGCTAAAGAGCCATTGGAATTGGTCCATAGTGACATATGTGGTCCAATGCAAGTAAATAGTATAGGAGGAAAGAGATACTTCCTTACATTTGTAGATGACTTTTCTAGATTTACTATGGTATATCTAATTGAAAGCAAAGATGAAGTTCTTACAAAACTGAAAGAATTTGTAGCTTCTACTACAAATAAATTTAGAAGAAAAATCAACACACTAAGATCAGATAACGGTGGTGAATACTGTAATAAAAATGTTGAAGAATATTTAACAAAACAAGGAATCACTCATCAAACTACAATACCTTATTCTCCTGCACAAAATGGTGTTGCAGAAAGAAAGAACAGATCTCTCATAGAAATGGCACGAGCTATGATAATAAATGCAAATCTTGAAAAATCCTTTTGGGGAGAAGCAGTAATAACTGCAAATTATTTGCAGAACAGATTACCTACTAAAATAATAAATAAAACACCATATGAGTTGTGGAACAAAAGAAAGCCCAACCTAAACCATCTTAAAGTTTTTGGATGTAAAGCATATGCCTACATAAATAAGCATAAAAGAAGAAAATTAGATGAAAAAGCCATTGAAGGTATATTTGTAGGGTATGATATGAGAAGTAAGGGATACAGGATTTACACAGGTGATAGAAATGTAATAATAAGCAGATCAGTAAAATTCCTAGAAATGAATACAGGAAAAGAAAATAAAGGAAAACATAAACTATGGAATACTAAAGATGCCTTCCAATTTTTCCATGTTAATGAAAGTTTTCCAGAAGAGCAAGACTCAGAAGAAGAAACAGAGTCTGTAGAAATGCAAACAGAAGAAGAAACAGAATCAGAAATTCCACTAAGAAGGTCTGAAAGATCAACCAAAGGTATACCTCCAGAAAAACTGACATTCAAAGCTGAAGTTAAAATTCCACATAGAGATCCAAAGTCATTTGAAGATATATTGGAATTACCAAAGGAAGAAAAGCTAAAATGGGAAAAAGCAATGAGTGAAGAAATTAATTCCCTAAAAGAAAAGGAAACTTGGAAATTAGTTGATTTACCACAAGATAAAAGAGCAATAGGATGTAAGTGGGTTTTCAAGACAAAGTATGATGAAAATGGAAGAGAAACAAAATGCAAAGCAAGATTAGTAGCAAAAGGCTATGATCAAAGATTTGGAACTGACTTTGATGAAACATTTGCACCAGTTGTTAAACATACAACTATTAGAGCAGTTTTAGCTGCAGCTGCATATAAAGGAATGAAAGTACATCATGTTGATGTTAAAACTGCATTTTTAAATGGAAAATTAAATGAAGATGTTTACATGACACAACCTATAGGATTTGAAGAAAAAGGAAAAGAAGGAAAAGTATGCAAGCTACAAAAGGCTATTTATGGTCTTAAACAAGCTGCCAAAGCATGGAATGAGGCAATAGCAACAACTCTAATTAATCAAGGTTTTAAACAAAGCAAAGCTGACATCTGTTTGTTTACCAAGGGTAAAGGGAAAGATATTGTATATTGTGTGCTATATGTGGATGATATTTTGATTAGTGCAAAAAGTGAAATAAGCATTAGTAAAATAGTAAAAATTCTTGAAGAAAACTATGATATACAAATCTAGGAGAAGTAAAGTTTTACTTGGGAATAGAAGTAAAAAGAAAGAAAGATGGAAGTTTTTTTGTTAAGTCAACAAAATAAAATAGAAGAGCTTGTACAGAAGTTTAATTTGCAAGAAGCAAAACCAGTTTCTACTCCAATGGAAACAGACTATTACAAACTACAAGGAGAAGAAGACCTACTTCAAAATAACACAAAATATAGGCAGGCAGTGGGGGCTCTCTTATATATTTCAACTGTTNTAAAATAGTAAAAATTCTTAAAGAAAACTATGATATTACAAATCTAGGAGAAGTAAAGTTTTACTTGGGAATAGAAGTAAAAAGAAAGAAAGATGGAAGTTTTTTGTTAAGTCAACAAAGTAAAATAGAAGAGCTCGTACAGAAGTTTAATTTGCAAGATGCAAAACCAGTTTCTACTCCAATGGAAACAGACTATTACAGACTACAAGGAGAAGAAGACCTGCTTCAAAATAAAACAAAATATAGGCAGGCAGTGGGGGCTCTCTTATATATTTCAACTGTTACAAGACCAGATATAGCAGCTTCAACACACATTCTTAGCAGAAGATGTGAAAATCCAAGACAGCGAGATTGGAATTCTGTTAAGCGAATTATATGCTATCTTAAATCAACAAAATATCTGCAACTACAAATTTCATCAACTGAAAAACCTGTTCTAAAGGTCTACTGTGATGCTGATTGGGCTCAAGACAGACAAGACAGAAAATCAACATCAGGAAACGTGATATACCTTGGAGAAAATTGCATATCATGGAAATCAAGGAAACAAAACTGTGTAGCTCTATCCTCAACAGAAGCTGAATATGTTTCTTTAGCAAGTTCTACGCAAGAACTACTATGGGTTTTACGTCTGACAGAAGAATTTGAACTAAACAAAATCTGCCAGTCAAAATTATAGAAGATAATCAAGCAACAATAAAACTTTCACAAAGTGAAAAACACAATTCAAGACTAAAACACACAGACACAAAGTATCATCACATCAGAGATCTACAAAGAAAGAACATAATTGAAGTTGTGTATTGTCCAACGCAAGAAATGGTTGCTGACATTTTTACAAAGCCTCTGCCAAGACCTCGATTTGAAACTCATAGATGTGCTTTAAATATGCATTCATCGTGTTCGGAGTTAGTGGGGGATGTTAGACGTCCGTGTTTATCAACAACTCCTCAACGATAGTGCTTGCGAGAAGAGTGCGAGATCTCGTCCCGTTTTTTAAAGATTGATATCCCCGTTTTTTAGTTAGTTTCGGTTTCGTTTTCTTACTTTGTGATTTATGTCCTTAATAATAACTTTAATAAAGTATTTTGAAGACATTGCTTGGTGGTATGTAAAATTTGTCATCCTATCCTGCGCTGTGAACGAACTAATTATCATTGGCTTATCGTTAGAAGTTAAATGATAAAAGACCTTACACCTAACAGAAACATCAGTTGACTCATCCATAATAATTACATGCCTTTTATTTTTTAAGTCTTCAAAAAGTTCAGATTTCAAAACAGGTGAAATTACATTTTTCAGCAGAATTAGACATTTAGTTCTGTGCAATTTGATCTTGCCTACAGTACTTCCACATCCATGTTTCACAATAATCTCACCAAGGTGATCGATTATTCTTATTGCACTATGGCAAGCTATACTTACTGAAAGCTGTAACTTGGCTTCCTTAACTTTTTCATCAACTGTCTTGCTGGTTTTTGTGACAGGAAGAATCATTTGATATGTAGATGGAGTATTTTTCTTGTGCTTTTCTGATTTGTCATGGTTTGAAAGGACTACGACAAATGGTTGTCATGGTTTGAATCTTGGGACTATGGTACACCTACATAATTTGCAATATGCAGATTCAGAATCACCAGTTGCTTTTTAATCCAAGGAAATTTATCCTTCCATTTATCATTATATTTTCTGTTATTGCCATATGTCAATTTCCACTTAGGCATAATTATAAATGAAAATAAAAAATAAAATAACTTTGAGAACGATTTTATAATCACTTTAGGTATGGTGTAGGTGAATAGTTACTAGGTAGGCATGCAGGTAATGAGTAGCAAAATTTCTTATTTTAGTGTTGCCAAATTAAAATCTATAAAAGCCAAAAAGCCAAACAAAATTTTGCCACACCACTCAAACTGAAAAAAGGCCAAATTTCGCAAATTTGGTGTCAAAAAAGCCAATCTGGCAACCCTGACTGAGATACAGGCAAAATTAGTGATTTTGCTTATTTTTTTTGACATGAGTATAAATATTAAAATTCATGCAATTAAAATTAAATATCTGAAAGTAGCTGAATCTATATTATATTTTTATGTTGCCAAATTTATGATAGATTGAAGTTTATTAATTACTACAATTGTTAATTTAAATAAACAAATAAATGTCTGTTTTTATTTTCAGGAGATTTGTGGATGCTTTTATTGATTTTCCTAAACCTTTAATTGCTGCAGTTAATGGACCAGCTGTTGGAATATCTGTAACTCTTTTGGGTTTGTGCGATGTAGTTTATGCTGCAGATAATGTAATTTTTTATTATCCTAAAATTTTATATTTTTTAAAATATACTCATTTATATAAACAGTATTAAATTGTTTATATAATTAATTAAATAATAATGTATTTTTTAAGAATAAGTTTAAACTGAGTAAGAAATCCAATATTTATGATATTGGATTTCTCACTTGTTTAAATTTCTAGAATTAGAAATAACAATGTAGTTTCTAGAATTAAAAAACATTATGAATTATTATTACATTGTTAATTTTCTTATTTCATTTTTATTAAACATTAATATAGTTATTCTATACTCTTTCTAACAATGATTTTTTATTATACTAAGAAATTAATCATGTAATAATTTTTTATTTCTTTATACAAAAACATTAATTATTTAAGCATAAATTTTAAAAACAAATGGAAAAGTTTATTCTTATCTTTGTTAATAAAATATGATTTAAAAAAATATAATGTAATTTCTAAAATTATATAATGATTAATTCATAACATAATTTTATAAAATTAAATATTATGAACCANTTGAGTATTTTAACTGAATAAAAAACATTTTATAAAATTAAATATTATGAACCAAAAAATAATTTTTTAGCATTTTATGATGAAATACGCCTTGATTATTAACTTTAATAGCTCTACTCTCATTGAAATTAGACAGAAAACATAAAACAAAAGAAAACAAAAACACTTAATACTTTTAATCAGCCAGACAAAAAATTATACAAGGTGTGAACAAAAACATGCACCAGGCTATAAATCATGTCTGCTGTAATAATTGTAACTGGATTTAATTGTACTGGAATATAAGAAATATTGGGTTGTTTGGAAAGTAATTTCGGTTTTTTTTCGTGGAAAAAAACACAATATTTTTATAATAAATAAATATTTTATTGAATTATGAGTATATATCGACCATTTTGGTCAAATACCTGTTNTTCTCAAGAGGCCAATGGCATCCCTTGTTCCTTTTCCTTTTCTGAATCCAAATTGTTCTTCACATAGAAATGTTTCAGCCTTGTTGTAGAGTCTTCTGTTAATGGTTTTAAGAAGGATTTTTGAGGCATATGAAATTAAACTAATTGTTCTAAAATCACTACACTTTTTACCTTTTGCTTTCTTTGGTATAGGTATCAAAATACTTTGAGCAAAGTCTTCAGGTCATTCTCCTGTTTTATATATGAGATTGCATAAGTCTGTTATTTTCTCGATTCCTTCCTTGCCTAACCCGTTTAGAAATTCAGCTGGTATTTCATCTACTCCTTCTGACTTTTTGTTTTTCAATTCTTTAATTGCCAATCCAACTTCATCTTTCATGATAATAGGTCCTCTTTCATCATTAGCTATTTGAGAAGATTTTTCCAATTTTAACTATTTAGGTTTGGTATTCTCTCCATAGAGATATACAATATATTTTTTCCAATGGCCCATTATATCAGTTGGGGTTAAAAGCGCTTTTCCATCTTTGTCTTCAACATAGACGGATCGATCATAGTATTTTACAAAACTTATCAAATTATTTCTCAACGTATAAAGAATTATTTTTATTTAAAGGTGGATAGATAGAAAAAAAATATTTTTAAAAATTTGAGCTACAGTTATTTAGACATTGAACTTCTTGGGTGTCCAAGATCGGATAATATTTAAAAGAATGAATTATTACCACAAATATTTTAAAAAGCATTGTCCTTTTTGAAATATTCTATATTATGAACAATTCTTAATTGAACAAAAAATAGATAATTTCAAAATCAATACATTGTATAGATATTTAATAAATAAGTAACAAATATAATTTAAATAATTATTACATTAAACTATTTCCCTATTTTACTTTG